TTCCTGTTATTAGTTATTTCTGCAATTGCATTTCTGCTGCCAAGGAAAAAGAATAAAGGACTCTGTTGGCTCTTTGTGTATAGATGCAGTCTTGTTTGCTTAAACAAAATGCCTACAGGGGCCAGGTAGGTAACACAAATTAATAAATTGAGCCCAGTAAAAAGTAATAGGGAAGGATGGGGACTGGCTAACCGGGGAATGCATTTCCCAACAAAAGGCCTTCAAGTTCAAAAACTGTAAATACTTTCAAGTCAAACAAAACACATCTGTGAACTCAATTTGCTTTCCCAGTGCCACAAACTTGTGGTCCCTAAACTAGAGTCTTCCCTGGGAATACACCAGGACTGGTATAGTCCTTCCCTTAAGAAAATTTCAGGTAGTTGCATCCATTTATTTGCACTGAGAGATAGAACATGAAGAATTATTGTGAAGTCTTGACAGTAACAGTAGCTAATATTTATATAATCCACATTATATTCTGAGAATTCCTCTAAAAACTTTACATATATTAATTTAATCCTTACAATAATATTACAAAGTAATCCCTCATCATCCTTATTTTATAGAGGAGGAAACTGAAGCACTGAGAGATTTAAGAAACTTGACCATGTTCACTCAGCTAGTAAGTAGCAGAGCTGGGATTCAGACACCAGCAGCCTGGCTCTACACAATCCTGCCTCTCAAGATACAAAGGAAGAAAACAGTACCAGTTCTGGAAGCTGAAATTCTTGACTACACTCCACTTGGTTCAGTGACCATAAAGTCCACAAAGGAGCAGAAATAAAAGTGCTGTTTTTGTGAGTACTCTGAAGTTCTCTATTCCTTAAGCTCCACTGTATTGTCATTCTGTCTACTACAAACCAGGATGCATCTGAATGTCAATTCAATTAGTAAGTGTATAATTGTTGTCTCCATAAACCATACTTTGACATTTAATATGCCAAACATGATCATTTTATGAGCAAACCAAGTTATCCATAGCATATTTTTATGTTCTACAGCTATCAAGATGGCTTCAGATTTACAGAGTGCTAAAAAAATGACTATATCATAAATTTCAATTTTCCCTAAAATTGCCTTTTTTAAATGAACCAGGAAAAAATATATATTTCTGTCAATGTTTCCCCTATAGCAGGTTCAGAATTCCTGAAAAGTCAAAATTGCTCCAAGATTGAGGGGCCTGTGCAGCTCTGAACAGTCATACATATCAAAGTATGTCTTCAGTTCTGTACTTTTCGGGGGGGGGGGGGGGGTTAGGAGAGTTGTTCATATATTCATGAAGTTGGAGAAGACAGGTCCACGCCCAAATTTTAAATAATTTATATGCTCAATATATGTCATCTAGAGCTCTACAAAGTGGTTTCTACACAAAAGACGTTGCCGGTGATGAGATGAGATTGTGGTGAAGGGGTGGGGTCCCCAGGTGGCTCTGCTGGAGGTCTGAAGAAGGAATGGATGGGCCTGTGGGCTGGAGATGGCTGAAAATCTGTACCCTGAAAAGCTTACCCACTCCTTCCTCAGGACTGTGGATGGTAACAGACTTCTCAGGTCCTGGAAGCCATCCCTGTCCTCTTAGAAATACAAACTGGGTAAAAGTTTAACAGGATATTTCATCAGGAACCTCTAAAGACTCAGAAGAATCTCTGAGTGAGGGACACAATGAGGCCAAATAGGGAGGAGAGCATATTCCTTGCTTTCAAGGAGCAGAAAAAACAAAGAAAACACTGGATTCAAGACTGATTATTGGCTCTGGTTTTCACTCTCCAAACACGATGAATTGGGCTTGGGGTGGTGGAGGGCACAGAGGTAGAGCATTGACAAAAACCAGTAAGATCAGTGAAACAATAGAAAGCTAAAAATAGATCCCAGTATATATGAGAAGTTAGTTTACAGTACAGGTAGTTTTTCAAACCATGATTATTCAATAAATTATTTGATATAAAACACTAACCATTGGGCCAAAACGAAGTCAGGTCTCCACCTTCTACCATATAGAAAGATAAGTATCCAAAACCTATACGAGTGAACAAAAAGAAGTGAATAGCACATGTACCAAAGGCATTGAAACTATAGCAGAATATGTATCTCACATCACAAATTTCAAGAAATATCTTAGAACTGAAATAAAAGGTATTTGACTAGAAGATATGTCAGAGGGAGTGCAAAACAAAGTCATGGAGACTAAAAGGAAAGCATTCTTAAAAATCTTACCAATAATCTCAAGATCCATCCATGTTGTCGCAAATGGCAGCATTTCATCTTTTCTTACGGCTGAGTAATACTCCATTGTGTGTATATAACACACTTCTTTATCCAATCATTTATCAAAGGACACTTTGGTGGTTTCCACGTCTTGGCCACCATAAATAATGCTGCGATGGATCTTGAGATTATCATGCTAAACAAAATAAGTGAGACAGTAAAAGTCAAGAACCATATGACTTCTTTCATATGTGGGATATAGAGCTGAAAACAACAAAGGAACAAGACAATAAACAAAAAAACAAGAACTAATAGACATAGACAACAGTTTAGTGGATACCAAAGGGCAAGTGCCAGGGAGGGGAGAGAAAACGGGAAAGGGGATCAAATATATGGTGATAGAAGGAGAACTGACTGGGTGGTGAGAACACAGGTGATATATAGGTGATGTAGTATAGAAATGAAGACTTGAAACCTATATAATTTTACCAACCATTGTCACCCCAATAAATTTAAATAAATAAATAAATAAATAAATAAATAAATAAATAAATAAATAAAGATCTTACTAATATCTTTTCCACATCCCATTTGGAATAATGGGAACGAGGGCTAAAAGTGGCCAGAGGGAATATACAATGCTCCATCTAGAGCTCCCTTTCCCCAATGTACATAATTTCCTGAGCACAATATAGGAGAGAAACAAGAAAATATACCCTTAAGGATAACTGACAAATGGCCCAGTTGGGCAATAGAAAAAATAACAAGGCCATTTCAAATCAAAAGCCAGGAACCTCTAGGATTTTATGCAAGCATGGGCAGCTCACCACAAAGCAGAGCGAACAAACTAAGAGCTAAAGAACACAGCCCTGGGACAGAATCTGGCCCCAAATCAGCACAGTACTCCAGAGCAATGAATCCATATAAGTTTTTAAGTCTCAGCAACTAAAGCAATCACAATTACAAAGCAGAAGGTGAAATTTATAATTCTTGAAATTAAAACCTCTTTATGACACACACACACACACACACACACACACACACACACCACACCACACACATGGTCTGACAATTAAGTTTGCAAACTTGTTGCAATGATATTGCTAACCTTCTATTGATATCAGAGGGGTTATTCATTATGAATTTGTACCAACTGGACAAACAGTTAACCAAGTTTACTATTTGGAAGTGCTGAAAAGGCTGTGAGAAAATGTTAGATGACCTGAACTTTTCACCAGCAATTCATGGCTCTTGCGTCACAACACTGCACCAGTTCACACAGCACTGTCTGTGAGGGATTTTTGAACCAGTAAACAAATAAATGTATTGGAACAAGCGCCCTACTCACTGATCTGGCCCCAGTGACTTCTTTCTTTACCAGAAGATAAAGTAAATATTGAAAGGAAGACATTTTGGTAACATTCAGGATATCAAAGGTGATACAACAACAGCTCTGATGGCCATTCCAGAAAAAGAGTTTCAAAATTGCTTGGAAGGGTGGACTAGGCACTGGCATTAGTGCATAACTTCCCAAGGGGAGTACTTTGAGGGTGACCATAGTGATATTCAGCAATGAGGTATGTAGTACTTTTTCTAGAATGAGTTCAGGAATTTAATTATCTGACCTTGTAGCCTAAGGACAAGCCCTATATTCTGATGATGGCAAAATCAGATCAGCCAAGAAGAGGGGTGCTTGAAGTTACTCGAACTGCTGAATAAACCAGCCCTGAAACTCTTACCTCAAACTTCTCGTTATGGGAAATACTGACTCTTTAAGGTATTTGAGTCAAGGCTTTCTGTTATTTGCTGCTGAAAGAACCCTACCTAACGTAGAAAATATCGGGGAAATAATGAAAATAAAAACACTGCATATTAAAATCTATAGGATAAAGCCAAAACATTATTCAGAGAAAGTCATTTCCTTTCATCTCTTTAATTTCCAACACACATATTCTGCCTCAAATATTTTGAGAATTGAAATCAAGAAGTTAGAGAAAAGGAAAGCAATATAATGCTCAGGAAGGTAGGAGAACATGATTAATTCAGAAAGAAATTCAGTGTTTTCTATGTTCCCAACCAAACACTGCATCTGAGCCTACCATTTCCTTTACACGAGAACATTTGCTCCTTCTCGGCATCCTTACCACCCCTTGAGCTCAGCTTCAGATTTGGTCTCTCCTTCCAAAGCAGGGAGGATACATGGCAAAAGATTCCAGCTCAAATGCTGTAGGAAGAGAGCATCGAAATGTATAGAAGGGAATCTTTAGAATCTAGTCAGAGGCTCCCACACCAGGCCAGAACAAACATACCCCCTAGCTTCTCTAATAAAGATGCTCATTAGTTCCTTCAGAGGAGCCTGTAGATATTTCTACAGAAGCTTCCTAGTTCACTTATAATTAGCTACATATATTTATGCTCAGGTCAAGATAGAATAAACTACATATAATTCTCATTCTAGAGCATGAGTTCAGAAATTCTCCAGAAATCCTTTTGTCTATCTATCTCTTTTTGTTTGTTTGTTTCAACTGTCCATTTATTGCAAGATGGTAAAATTAATTACAAATTTAAACCATAACTTGGTAATCTTTAGCCAGACATCAATTTTTATTAAAAGCTAATTGCTTATTCAAAAGTGATTAATGTAACATCTCAAAATGCAGAGTAAGAAGGACAAGAAACATCTCACTGGCCAAAAGATTGTTTGTTTTAATTCTCTCACTATATGAAACTCAAGCATTTGATTTTTAAGTAGGGTAAACTGGAACTTCAGAGGCTGCAATACAGACAGATTTTGTCACATCGAGTAGTTTCCATTTAGTCAGTCAACTGTTTCTAGCTGTCTCAATCGGGATGGCTGCATTTACATAACTGGCTGTGCTTGGGCCTTCTTTGCAAGCAGCTTTAGATCTGAAATGCACTTGGCAATTGTCTCCTTTTCCTGCTGTGCAGAGATGCTCTGTACCACGTGCTTCTCCACCCAGTTTATCATGTGCTCTTGTTCCTTTCGACGCATCATATTCTGCACAGAGATCTGATAATCCAGGCGATTGTTTACCTCCCTGTATACTCTAAGCAGCCGTTCCCGGTAAGTAACCTCCAAGGCCATAGCAATGTTATTCCTCTGGACATCAAAAAGATAATGGCACTTTTGAACCAGTGTCTGTTGTGACTTCTCCAGATTAATTGCATCCTGGATAGATTTGATGGAAGCCTGCTTCGCCTCTTCTAGTTGGGCAATTTTTTGCTCATTGAGTTTATCAGCAAATTCCCCAATAGAGGCACCATATTTTTTAATTACATAGACAAGCAACCCTATTGTTGATACAGCAGAGATGGTCTCTGGTGTAACCACATACATTTCTTTGGATAGAAAATATAAGGTAAGCCCAGTTCCGAGCACATAGGGTCCTGTTACACCAGTTTTAGGATAAAGGAACTGGAAAAATTCCTCAGGAATCAGCCCATGACGAACTTTTCCTCCATATTCAGGAAGAGGTGGTACAGGGGCGAGACTTGGCTGCCCAGTGTGAAAGATCCTTGTTGCCTGCAGTACCCCTGGACCAAGAAGGGCTGCGTTCTTCAGACTGGGGGCCGCTGTGGCGGTGGCAGAAAATACCACCCTGGACAACATGGTCAGCGAGGGGCCACTTGGCTGTCTGGGCGTCCCAGTGACCTGGACAGGAGAGCCTGTCAGGGGCAGGAGCAAGATGGTCGCTCGCAAGTTTCCTCTATCTATCTCTTTAGGTCTTACATTAAAATGCTATCCAGTGTTTGGACTTGGGAGACCTAATCTGAATATAACAAACATTGTCTTGATTCCAGAATGGGGAAAAAAAAAAGAGAGAAGAAGAAGAAGGTCCCCTATGTCATTATCAACATTATCACAAAACAACAATAGCAGATAACCTTTACTGAGCATTTGCCAGATGGCAGAAACCACACTAAGCACTTCACCTGCATCATTTCATTTAATCCTGACAGATGAGGAAGTAGAAAATGGGATTCAAACCTAGGCCTGTTTACCTCCAAATATTTAACTACAACACTAAACTAACCATACCAGGCTTTTGGGTGGTTTTGTTTTGTTTCTATCTAATAGTGCTAAATGTTACACTTTCACCATAGTTTCCACATTTCATCCTCACAACAACCCAGTGAAGTAAAAATGATCACCACTGTTTTATAGATGAGGCTGAAGAAGTAATATTCTCAGGTCATGCACCTTGTGAGTGGCAGAGCCAGAATCAGAGTGTCCTTCCTTCTCTGAATCCCAGGCTTTTCCACGCAACCTCTTCTCGTGCTAATCCTTGCTCTCCTGGTCATCAGGGCAACCAGATGACAGCAAACTGGGTTCAATATGCCCATTTTCTCTCTGTTCCTCTTTTTCTCACCACTGGGAAACAAAGCAGCCCTGTGCCCTTGGAGTTCATTACCACCTTCATTATCCTCAGGTGCTTTTTAAAAAAAAATCCTGATTTTTTTTTCTCCTCCATTTTCCTTTTTTTTTTTTTAAAGGTTTTTGTTTGCTTAATACATCTGAAAAGAATGCATATACAAAGAATTAAGGCATGAGAAAGCATTGGTTCAACACTAATGAATCTATAGAATTAGGATTTGGGGAAGGTGGGGAAGAATTACTTAAACATTTTTAAAAATGGGAAACTGCAGCCAAAATAAGTTGATAAAAATCTCTATTAACATTTATGAAGAGTCTTCATAAGACTCTCTCCACAATTTTCTTCTCCATTTTCTTATCAAGGGTTTGTACACAGCCTATAATCATGCCACTCAAGGTGACAGCCACTTTGGAAGTTCTCCACACATTAGTACACAATTTAGAAAATTATCAGCAGGCTCCAAGGAAAGCATAGGTTTCAGCCAAAGTAACTGTTTGGATAGGGGAGCTTCCCAGAAATGAGATCAGCTCTTTCCCCGAATTTCTACAGTCTTTTTTGAAAGGTGATTAGAGCAAAGTGGTAAATGTCTTCCTTCTATCAAGTATTGGAAAGCATACTCTTTTCCCAGGCTTTTTCCTCATCTAAAACCATACTAGCCAGAACCAAGGGATGCAAAAATCATCCCTGCACTCTACAGCACAGAGAGAGATGCATAACAGGGAAATTGTTAGTCAAAGAAAGTTAAACCCTCAGCATAACGAAGGACATCCATAAAATGCACGTATGGGTGAAAAAAGCAGGGGGGGCGGTTATGGAAAGTAATCTCATAGGGTGATCTGATCATAAATTCCTAACTGGGCAGGTCATGGTGGGTCATCATGCCCCAGGCCTATAACTTCTTTTTGTTTTTTAATTTTATTGGGGAACAGTGTGGTTTTCCAGGACCCATCAGCTCCAAGTCAAGTAGTTGTTCCAATCTAGCTGTGTAGGGTATTTTTCCAGGACCCATCAACTCCAAGTGAAGTAGTTGTGCCAATCAAGTTGTAGAGGGCACAACTCAGTGGCCCATGTGGGGATCAAACTGGCAACCTTGGTGTTATGAGCACTGCGCTCTAACCAACTGAGCTAACCATGCCCCCCCCCCAACTTCTTTAGTGAAAGGTTTTAAGTCAGCCTTGTCTATTGTTCAGTGCCAGCCTTGTGCATCTAGGTTAACACATCTTTGAAATACCAGAAATAATACCCTTCGAAGGGGGTATTAATGCTCAAGAGAACACATAATCTTGTTTACGGTCCTGTAAGCTGATCCCCACCTTGCTTTCTCTCACCTTCATGTAACCTTCCTTATGTTCCCTCCTGAATTTCAAATACATAAAAGAAGCTGCAAAACTTATTTTCCGTGGAATCTGAGATCTTGCTCCCCAGCGCATGTCATCAGTTTGGCTCAAATAAACCCTTATAAAAATTCTCTACAGGTTTGGATGTTTCTTGTGTCAACATATGATGTCAGTATCTCTTACAAACACTTTTTGAAATTCCCTAACATAGGACTACTAGATTCCCTGCACTTCCCCTGAGTAGCATGAGATCTTCCCCACAAGGGTATCAAAAGATTAGCTCTTCCCTTGTTGACCATAAGACAATTCTCAAAGGTGATCTTAGATTACATTTGTGTATAAAAGAAAGCCTGTGATTTTCAGGGACTAAAAACTAGGGTGTGGTGGTCATCCATGTTCTGGTTGGTAAGCGCTTATCTTCTTTCTTCTGTAGAAAACAGAAATGTCTTATTTAAATTCTGAGACTATGGTCTTATTTTGCAACATAAAATCAAGCCCAGAAGAACATCTTGGAAAACTCTGTAATGGGTTCTGTTTCTGGCAGTGGCAGACTAGATTGTTTCAGCCCAAGTGTCTCTCTAAAAATAATTATACGATCTAACCCAAATATTTTGAAAATTTGAAGGCATGGGAAAGCTATAAGGTTATAAAAAACTTAGAGCATGGAAAGAGTAAAATAAACAAGAGAGTTTAACCTTGCATTTGGTGTTTTTCTAGAGGCAAGGGACAATTCCAAAAGCAGTGATTGACAGGCTGAGAAAGTTTTTAGAAATCACACAACTTGAGTGACAAAAAAATAATAGAGTGCGTGGTCTTTCAAGAGGGAGAGAGTTTTCAGTTCCAGAATTTCAATTTAATTCTTTTTGATAGTTTCTAGTTCTCTGCCAAATTTTCTCCACCTTGATATTTAATCTTTAAATTATTAATAAAATTATTTTAATATCTGTGTGGATGTCTCTAATGTCAGGATCTTTCATGAATATGTCTTTTTGTCTGGTTTTTTTTTCTTTTGTATTTTTTCACAAATCTTGTCTTCTTGCATGCCTGATTATTTTTTATTGCGTGACAAATTGTAGAGATCATTTATGGTTCTGATATTTTACTCCAGAGAGGATTTACTTTTGTTTCTGGCAGATTGCCTTTAATTATAATCAGATATTAGATGACTGGAAGTTGAGCTTCAGGTCTTGTGAGGGCTCATCTACTTCTAGTTGACACTTTCTTCCAAAGAGAAAAGGATCCTGGTAAACACCATATGCTTTTGGTTTGCACCCCTAAATGTAAAGTTGGCTTTCTTTTGTTGCCTGTGCTAAGAATCCATTGCCTAACCCAAGATCGTTAAACATAGGGGCAAATACCTTTATATTTTCTTCTAAGAGTTTATAGTTTTAGCTTATATTTCAGTCTTTGATCTATTTTGAATTAGTTTTGTATACGGTGTGAGGTAGGGCCCCAACTTCATTCTTTTGCATCTGGATATCTAGTTGTCCCAGAGTTATTTGATGAAAAGACAATTCTTTCCCCATTGAATTGTTTTGGGCCCTTGTCAAAAATCTATTGATCAGGCCAGCTGAGTGGCTCAGTTGATTAAGAGCTCACTCAAGAGTTTGAGCTCTGAGCAACAGGGTCCCTGGTTTGATTCACGGCCCAAGCTGAGCTGCCACTGAGCTGCTAACAGGTGGCAGGATGGCTCAGCTAAAAAAAAAAAAAATCTATTGATCATAAATGTCATGAGTGTTTATTTATGGACTCTCAATTCTATTCCATTTATCTGTAAGTCTATCCTTATGCCAATACCACACTGTCTGTATCTTTGTAGTAAGTTGTGAAATAAGGAAAATGAGTCCTCCAACTTTTTTTCTTTTTCAAGATTGTTTTAGCTGTTAATAATTCCTTGAATTTCCATATGATTTTAAGATCAGCTTTTCAGTTTCTGCAAAGAAGGCAGCTGGAATTATAGGGATCATGTCGAATCTGTAGACCAACTTCAGAATATTGCCATCTTAACAATATTAAGTCTTTTGATCCATGAGGTTCAGAGAAGTTAAGTAACCTAACCATAGCCAGGGTAGGTTTTTATATTTTTTTAATTTTTAAATTTTTTTTTAAATATTTTTATTTGGGAATTGGGGGATGGGAACAGCACTGGGGAATTGGGGGAAGGGGAACAGACAAGTTGCTGTCCTTTGTTCTTCATTCTAGTTGTGGAGGACGTTGTTTCACTGGCCCAAGTTGGCACCATCATTGCGCTCTTCCCGGGCGAGGCAGATCAGTCACTCACTTCTGGACTCGCTTCTGGACGGCGGCTCACAGCGGCTGCTGGCGGCTCACGCTGGCTGCTGGCTACACACGGTAGCCCATGGCAACCCACTGCAGCAGGGGCTGCAACCTATGCTGTCGCAGGCGACTTGGGGCAGCCCAGCTCCAGGTTGAGCTGTTGTTCAGCATCTTAGCTGTAGAGGGCAGTGTCACCGGCCCTCATATGTGGGACCGGAGCCGGGGCCCTCTGGTGTCCCAAGCCAGCTCTTAACCAACACGCCATTCGGCCGGCCCAGGGTAGGTTTTTATACATAAAGAAGTGAACGAACTCTTCCCACTAACTTCTGCTCTGGTTGAGTGCTAAGGAGACTAACCCATCCCAGCACCATCCCCCAGATGCAAACAATGATACTTTCATCTGAGCAGTTGTCCGTGGTGCCATTTGAAAAGTGAAGCTAAACGTCTCTAGAAATGTAACAAGATACAAAAAAAAAGAAATTTATTTGTTGAATGAGCTCTCAAAAAGAATCTTTCAGAGAACAACTTGGAATAGAAGGCAGGACCTCCCAGGGGCATTTCCAGTCATCCTCAGAGGTGGTAGCAAACCTGATTTCTAAGGAGTGGTGGGCCTATAACTATAGTCTTGTTTTGCTGAGTATGTTATGAAGTTTGGGCCAGAGCTGAATTGCTTGAAACAACAGAGGAAAAACTGCACCTGGTCCAGCAT